AACATTCAAATGACATATATCTGAGTAAACATTGTATCTCCAGACCTGTCCTCATGACACAACACAGGAGCAAAATAAACAAATATCAAACTTCAACCAGAGAAAGTCCAATTTGTATCAGAAAGACACAGCAACAACTATTGTAAAATAGTTCAGAAACACAGTAACTTGTGTGTGTTGTGTGAGATCATTCAGTTGACAAAAGGTCGTTTTTAAGGCTCAATACTCTAGCTTCAACTTGCCATCCTCAAGGCCCATCAAGACTTTTTGGATGAAGTCAAATGTATTGGCCAAGTCTCGGGTAACTCAATGTAGAAAATAAGTGCAAACAGACAAATGCCCATCAAAAATGTTTGGGAAATCGACAACTGTGTTACCCTCAAGCACAACGGCAACCTTCTCGGGGCAGAATACCGCAGCATCTGTTGAAGTGGCACTGATCAGGAGGAGCCCAACTGGTATGTTGTCGATTTGCAGTTCATCTGACAAAAGACAAGTTACAAATCAACTGCCTAAGCTTCAGTGTTTCCCATAGAATGACAATGTACCAAAAGCTGTTTATGTTTCTTGATCAGCGGAAAAATATGGAAAGTACACTACCCTATTGCTATTCAGGGATTTCTTAATTCACCACTTTAAATGTAGTAATTATCCCCTTTTTTGTTTTTTTGGCCTCAAAACAATCAAAGCTAAATGGTACTGAAAGACAATGACTCAACTGACAAGCTTTTTTAAACAATCACTATATTGCATTTATTCTCACTATAGATGTTGATATTGTTTAGCATACTATTCCAGCTCTGCAGGTTTTAAATGGAATTTTAAAAACTGCAGCATGAATTGAGGTTTGACCAGTAAATGCAAAGTTTAATTACTAATTCCTCACAGGTAAGATTAAGCCTACTGTAGATGTTGCAGGACAATTATTACTATATTAATCTTTTTCACTTTTTAATATCATGGCAATCATACACCAAAATGACAGCATCTGAATAAAACAGATGAAATATATAACATGTTCAACAGATTCATTACAAGTCTTAATAATATGCTGACTTACATCCCACAGCTTCAGAAATCCGGAGTCATCCTCATGCAGATATGTAGGGAGAGCACGGAGGACGGCAGCACGGAGGACATTGACGTCAACTTGTTCCTTAAGTATGAGAAAACACATCATCTTAATTTGAAATGCCAAACAGGGAAGGAACAGAATTTATCACAAGAAATAGCCCTATATGATGTATTTGAATACGATTAGGTAATGCCTACCAAACTGTCAAATGACAATATCAAAAGAGGAACACTTGATGACATTTATTGTTTCTATTGTTGGTCGTGTTTTTTCCAAACAGTCTTTCACGATAGAAGACTGTCAGCTATCAACGATGGCATCATCATTTGGCCCTAATGTAATCTGAAGATAGGGAGTTCCAACAGGGTTCTATTATTATCATGCATGAAGAAGGATAATCAACTCACCTGGCGGTCATAAGTGTTGAAGAGCTGATCCAGGACTTCAGACACCTTCCCTGTGCGCGCAGCTTTCTTCCTGAACAAACTCTGAAGACGAGGGACATGTCTGTCTAACTCAGAATAGAAGTGGTTCTTCAGGTTGATGTTTGTGATTCTGTGAAACTCTGCACAAATCTGTAAAATAAAAATGTGACATTGAAGTGCATTTGTATCTCAAAAGAAAAAGGAAAATGAAGTTGTAAAACATTACATTACAAAACGTGTTTAAACATTATGTACTGTCGCATTATAAATGTCAAAACTTTACATTTGTTAAATGCTTGTCAGACTAAGTGACTGATGTTGAGATCCCTACACTTCCCTATCACATACAAAGAAAAAAAAACTCACCTGTGACTCCATCTTTAGGGCAGGCCAGCGCTCCAGGATCTCTCCAACAGGCAAGTCATCATTGATGACCTCTTTGCGTCGCAGGGAAAAGGTGGTCTGCATCAACTTTGCAATCAGAGGGAGGTTTTTGTCAGTCCTTATAACTTCATCTACAATCTGGAGTCTCTGTCGCTCAAGGCTTGAACCATCTTCTCCTTTTGGAAAGTTGGGGAGAAAATTCACTTCTGCCCTTTTTGGTCTCTTTATGTCAGTGTGGGGAGATTGTTTGTCAGGGTTGTTTCTGCTTCTCTTTCCAGAATTTACAGCTACCTCACTATATCCTGCCCGACTCAACTTAGTGCAGAAGTTACCCATCTTAAACTTCAGACTATTTTTCCAACCATACCATCCTGTCTGCGTTCCTGGTTCTTTAAGACAAGGATGGGTGGTGACAAGCGCTTCTGCAACCACTGAAATGTCTTTATCACTGGGATATGCTTTAAAGCTATGCATTTTGGATGCAAGGGTTTCAAGAATGTCATGCTTCTGTCCCCTTGATAACTTCAGGGTTTTCCCTGTTCTCTCATGATTCAAATTTCCCTCAACAAGTATGAGTTCTACTTCATAAGAAAAGCTGGCACTGGACAAACATCCGGCCATCTCTGGGTCCTTTCTGGAGTCATTGCATGAGGCAATATTATTGTGTCATCAGATGCAATTGAACTGGCATCACTCTGAGATCTTACAAGTTTAAGTACTGCCTTCTGTGGAAGCTCTTCAATGTCTATAAGGGAACATAACTGCCCGTCAAAGTCTGGATCTTCATATGATTAGCAAAAATCAAAGTCTATCTTAAACTTTTCTTTTGTCATTTTTTCAAGCTCAGTCACAGATTCTGGACATGAAGCCAAAGTCATCTTCCTGACAATGTCCATGGAAGTATGTATGTGAAGATTACCTATTAAAACAAAGAGAGGGGAGAGAACAGATTAACTAATAGCATTCAACAATGCATACACAATAGGTATTTGTGTGAAACAGTTATAGACAGATATTATTCACCTAAAAGCTGGGGTTTGAAAAAAATTACAGTTGTAGCAGGTAAGTCTTTCTAGGCTTGTAATGTTAGTAAACGTAACTGGCATATCAAATTTTAGTTTACCTGTCTTACTTTGCTACACACTGTTCCATGAGGCCATATGGTTCTTCACTTCTGATAACATTTTACACCTGGATTTCTCTGATCAAAATAAATCTTTTTTGTGTCAGTATTAAGTGTCCATCTATGTTGTATGCAGACAAACTTACTGTGTCATTTAGTTCTGACAGCTCGATGACAGAGCAGGTGTCTGAGGATGTCAGCTCAAATCACCTCAAATGCTCTCTGTACCAGCTCTCGTAGTTTCTGCAAAGAAAAGAAACAGAGTTATTCACAAGCAGTGTTTGGTCAGTCTCCAGCCTGGCCTGCAGAAACATACATACCATTAGCATACTCTGTGCCATCAATGGACACCTGTGTTGTACTGTATATGTTTTGGCTGTCTGTCTTTGTTCTTATAAAGTCTTTTGCCACTTGAGGCAGTGTGGCAACGTGGACAGAGGTGACACTCGAAGATTGTGTGTGGGGTTTGAAAAATAATGTGCACTTCAGTGATACGCCATCATGTGCTGATGCCTAGTGGCAAGAGTTCTCAAGACAGTCTTGAAATTGTGTGTGTCCTGTATCACTCTTTTAAAAAAGCGATGTTTTCCCTCGAACCTCATTGTCCAAAGGTGAACAAGAGGCCCAAAGCGCCTTGTCATTTCTGGGTAGTGCTCAACATAATGATGCTTGGGTCTGAGCTTAAAGTCTGGAAACACTGCTTGAAGTCCCTGTCGATGATCACTGATTTTAGTCTGCATGTACTGTAAAGACTCCTCTGTGAAAGATGGAGACAACACCAGCTGCACTATTTCTTTGAGGTCCAACAATATGGCCCATGTTTCATCTCCTTCAGGGACTTTACTTCCTACCAGTAGTGGTAATAACCTAAGCAAAGTGGAATTTTCATGCCCGTTTGGCAGCAAAATCTTTGGAATTTGTTGCGGTTTATCAAGCCTATCAGTGTGCTGATCTGGAAATGTGTGAATTCTTGTGTTTAGATATTCAAGTGTGAAATACTTCAGGCAAATCATCTCACGGATGCACAAGGCCATCTCAACTGGCACGACACCCTCAAAGAGGTCGTGAAGAATATCAGGTGGAAAACCAGTGATGGGATGAAAATGCTGCAATGCCATGCTGAGAGCACACTGACCTTTAACACCTAAGTGATTTGCTTTGTCTTCTTCCACAACATTCTGCACATGAAGATCATGGGAGGCCCTTGTTCTCATGCTAAACTCCCCTTCAGAAACGTCAGTGCACTGTTTCTGGTCTGCAGTACAGCAACAAAATCAGGGACAGTTTCAGCTCCCCTGTTTCAGACAATAACTGATTTTCTTTGAAATATGTTCCATCTTCATGAGACATGTAAATTCCTGGTGGAGACGGTTTTGCCTCGTGAATTTTTTCAAGAAGATCAGTAGTTTTAAACATTGTTTGAATCATCTGAAGAATGGGAACATACACTGCTGTGTGTTCACTGGAATCAAAAGTGTATTGCACTGGCATTACCAAAGGATAGTTACTCCTCACAAATGTTTCCCTCCGCTTAGCAGTGGACAGTTCCGCACCTTCTGAAGTAGCATTGACAAAAACATTAGTTTTCATGATAGCCTCCTCTAGGTCATGAAGAAGGGCCCCACTGACAGACAGATCATGCTCTTGTAAACTATTGACAACAGCTTCTCTCACAACAGGTTTGGACAAAGTGAATATTTGTGCCAAATTTTCAATGATGTCCTGTGTAGCTGTCTCTGACACATGAAGAACACTGTTCATTTTCAAGAAGAAAGAAGCCAAATTATTTTTGAAGTGCCCTTCCAAGTCATCAGTGTCATCTCTGGATCCAGAGGGCTCACACTCAGGAGTATCCAGCTCAGGAGAGTGTGGTAAAGGGCTATCCCTATCAGATTCATCCTGACTCTGCATTGGTTGACTTTCAGTTTCTGTACAGACAATCTCATTCTTATAATTTGAAACATCACTGTCTGGATGAGTCCTACTTTTGTGGGCATTAAAGGAGGAGTAGACATTAGTGCGGTCTTGACAGTTTTTGAAAGGACAGTCCACCATTTCATGGTGTTTTAAATGTGCCCTTAAATGACTGAGGAGACTCTTATCATTAAATGGTTGCTTGAATCCACAAAGGACATGTGAATGACAAACATCCCACCTCGTTTTCACTGGGTACAACTGTATTATTATGCAACCTTGTTAAATGAATTTTGAATGCATTTATTGACTGAAATGTGCAGATACAGTCATCAAAGAGACAAGGCAATGGGTTGATTGAGGATAAATTGCTGTGATGCAAACGACAGTGTTCAAGCAACTGTGCCCTTTTGTCACACACAGCAGGACAAAGTTTGCATTGCCAAGCCATTGTAAAACTAAACGGTGTCAATCAGCAAGTTTGACATACAAAGCATAGAATGATGAAACAGTGAACAGGTTTTAGATAAACTTCCCTTATCTGCATCACATCGGATTTCTCTTTACAGTGATTGTGCACAAGAAATGTCTATTAAAAGTCTGTGCTTTGAATATACATACCTGATTGAAGACTCCGGATATCACCAAGTTGCTTGTATTTAAGCCTTAAGACAAAGAAAATAGAAAAATGAGCTAAACTGTACATTTTAGCAGAAATGTTTCTTTACAGTTAATTTACAGTTGAGGAGCAACAGAAACACCGCGCACAATGCGGTTATTTTCCACACCAGGCTTTATTTTTGATAGTTTACCTACCTATCAAAAATGTCTAACAAATGATAGCACTAAATAAACTACTACAAGACCTCTTTTAAAAACGTTAACGGTTGTCTGTACAGAAACATGCATGTGGAGGTCGAGAAACAAAAGCAGTCCAGTAACATTTCCAGACAAATTTTAAAGCAAGACTTAGTTTATACTTGAAAAGTTAAAGAAAGTTAAAGAAAGAAGTTAAGCCAGTTATATTTTTTCAAATGTTTTCACATTAAATAGTGCAAACTGCATTAATTAAATAGGCTAACTTTGCCACAAAAGTACAACAGAAAACACGTATTCACTCTTCATACTAAATGCATGAAATAGCTGCGGACATGAGAACTATTTCATTAAATGAAGAAACGATATCAAAATGTGATAAAATAAGTTATTACTCACCAGATTAGCTCAAAGATAGCACCAATGCTACGGCAGTCAGCGCATTCAGCAGAGTAGAGACAGAAAACTCCTGCATGTCCGAACAAAAGTCCCTTCAAAAGTCTGCGATTTGCTCCACAAATAACAATATCTATTGTCTGTGTCCAAATTGTTCTCAACTTGTAAAGTTCACTCCGCTTAGCTGGCTCATTCTTAGCGACTCGATGCGAGAGCAAACATGGCGGTGAGAGCACGTACGCACGTGACCGTGACGTCATGCAGAGCAGATCAAACAATTTGAGAACAATTATGAAAAATAATCAAATTGGTTGAGCTCTGTTTACTTCAAACTAAAAACGCGTTCTAATAACTTAGAAAAATAGAGTTGAAATAACTATTTTGAATTTCCGAGTTCACACAACCCAATTTTTTTAACATGCTTTTACTGTTCGGTCTTACAGTGTAGTCCTGTTCCTTAATTGATTGTGGTAGGAAGGAAAAGGGTTGTTTTTTTGAAACAACGATTAACTTCAATTCATTTGTAGTTTGACTTTTATCCCCAGTTACGGCTGCAACCTTCCTGGTGTTACAGTCTGAGTGAGTGTCACGCCAGCTGCACACAAGTTGATGATTTTTCAGTGAAATTCATTGTCCTGGTCTTGTCTCCTTCTTGTCCTGGTCTTGTCTCCTTCTTGTCCTGGTCTTGTCTCCTTCTTGTCCTGGTCTTGTCTCCTTCTTGTCCTGTCTTGTCTCCTTCTTGTCCTGGTCTTGTCTCCTTCTTGTCCTGCCTTGGTCTTGATCTTATCTTGGTCTCTGAGCACTCTGGTCTCAGCTAGTCATGCTGGCTATCATGGGTTTTGTTCATTATTACCGACTATTGTAGAGAGAATAAAGCACAAAACAAGTTTACTGTCATTTGGGAATTTATATAAATATTTATATAAATGATGAAAAATGATATCGTTTGAAGTTCTGTGATCACTGATGACGCTCATCAAACATATTGAGGAGCTCAGTCTGAGTTTAAAAACAGTGTTTATGTCTCATCATGATGTGTTTTTACTCGTCCTTTGTAAAGTTATCATGGAGAAACTACATTTCTTAATGTAGTCACTGGCTCCATTATGATGAAGTATCTTAAGACAGTTTGTGATAAAAGAAAAGAAAAGTCGTTTTAACAACTTTGAAAAAAAGACAAAAAGACAAAAAGTGTATTTCTCATTGATTTAATGAACAGATTATCAGGAAACAATACACACACATATGAAGCAACAAGCTAATATTTATTCTTTAGAAACATGAAATAAAGAGAGAGAGAAAGGTGCACAGTGAGAGCAGTATCACAGTAAAACCAGCA